CACTAACCACATCTTTTTAATATAAATATCATATTAAAGAAAAAAAACAAAAATAAAAAGTATCACATTTAATGGTACTAACATTACTTTTTTATTCATCAAAAGTAAGAAGGTTTTGACTCGTTTAGAGCAACTATAACGACAGCTTTTGATAAGGTTTAAAAACCTTATGCTGCCAGCGTTATGACTAAAGAAGGGGAATGGCAGGTTTGAGTTTTTAAAGCAGTGTTGCAATTGAAACGCGGGGTTGTGATTTTTTTTGTGGGCCCTTTCATTACACACAACAATTATATATACTTGCCATGTCATTTTTTGTTCATTTTGTTTTTAAGTTTAAATTATATATTAATGATTGATTTTTTAGTTTATGAATCTGAAGTCTTAACTGGTTTTTAATATTAAAAAATTAAAGATTAAATATTATTAAGAACAAGTAAATCTTATGTTAAATCTATTCACGACAAATTATTGTTAAATATTTGAAATGTTTACTAAAAAATTAATTCAGCTATTTATTTTAATAAATTCTTGTAAATATATTTCCTAAAATTCTAATTTTCACTATTGCAATTTTAGTGTTATATTTATTTTTTTAAAATTTTAAGTGTACATAAAATGTATTTATTATGATATATAATATATATGTCATTGTAAAAAATAATGAGTAAAGTTATTAGTAAATACGAATTAAAAATTGATATATAAATTAAAATAAGTGGGAAATATAAGGGGCCCACTAAAAAAGGTTTGTGAGGTTTATGGTTATTGGAGGTTTGTGATATTGAGAGTAAGAATGAGGTTTAGATGATGTGGAGTATCTATACTTATATAATAAGAATTAATATTTATCCAAAATAGTAGGTCAAATTATGGTCAATGTCGGATTTGCATTAAATATTTTCCAAAACTGGTAAGTTTTTGTCCTTTTCACACTTCTCATTAATTATGTCCTTTTCATACATCTAATTAATTCATTAATTACGACATAATTATCATAAATCATTCCATCTGAGCTTTTATCGTTAAAATGTATAGCGATCTGTTATGACCTTATCCTATTGATATTTCCATGAAGCGTCCTTATCGCGTTCTATTTTTTGGTAACCACTCTATATCAATAACCGGATATTTGGTTAATGATAGCATACGTCTTTATTTCAAGGAGCGGATATTCTTTGACCTTTAATTAATCTGAACTGATTGCCTTGACTTTTCAATTTTTAAAAACTCTTTTTTTAATATTTGGCTTAAGATTCAAATTTCATTATACAAGTCATTGGATTGTTTGAATGAAAATGAATGAAAAGAACACCAAAAACAGGTAGCCTTATTCATATAACCAATCCTAAAATATTAGTTTGTTCACCAAAAAGAGACAAATCATAGAAATCCTAAAATATTAGTTTGTTCACTAATCCTAAAATATTAGTTTGTTCACCAAAAATATTAGTTTGATTTTTAGGATTTGTCTCTTTTGAAAATATTAGGTTGTGATAATGAGGAGTTACCAAATAATCAAACTCATAATGTTGTGTACAAGGAAGTTTTAATAATATATGATTGTTACCGAACTTTTTATGATTCAACAATGTTCCTATGTATTTTAATGATTTCAATTTCGATCCTAATGCACGTGAGATTATATTATTCTTTCAAATTTTACATCTCGTGCATCGCACGAGTTATGTACTAGTTGGGAATGAGAAAAATAAGGTTTATAAATCTTTACCATTAAAGATGCTCTTAGTAGTGGGCTGTTTAATAACAACATTTGTGTCAGAACAACACACATCAAATATTGATTAAATTTTAATGTTATAAATTATGATGAGTATAATACATAGGAGTATATATGTGTGTGTGTGTCATCGCATTGAAATTACGATACTATTAAATTTATGTTCACCGAACTGATAATAATTAATAACCCATAGAACTTCACTCACACTATCACACATTGTTTTATAAATATTGAGATTTAACTTTTAAATTATAGAGTTTTTTGTCATTATATTTTTCTCACATTGAAATAAGTAAATAGTAATTACTTGATTCGACTGCGAAACAAGATGAAAAAAGAATATATTATTCAAAGTTACTAATAAAACAAAGTACATTTTCGTTGATGACGGAAAGCAAAAGTGGTCTTTTTCCTCCCATTTTCTTTGTCCGTTCACGGAGAGATTTTAGGAAAATTAAGAAGAAAAAGAGCAAAGCAATGAAGATTGAAGCATAGTTGGACAGTTGGAAGTGTGGGCGGTTGGCAGTAATATTTTGTATTTTAGATTTTGAAGTGGATAAGGGGACCCACACACTAACATGCATAATATATAATATTTTCTTTAATTTTTTGCCATCATAATGAAAATATTCTACTTTGTTAGGCCTATAAAATTAGTAGATGAAATGATATATTTGTTTTAAGAGAAAATTATCAAATTGCACTTATAAAAATATTTTAGTGGCAAAACAAAATCAATTTCCATAATTTTTTTAAAAAAAAAAAACTATTTATAGAGCTTGTTGCTTACGTAGTCATACTTTTTCCAATATATATATATATATATATTAAATAAGAATATCATAATATATAACAAAGAATATGTATTAATATGATATAACTTATTTTTAAAAATATATATATAAAAGATCACCAACCTAACCAGCCTAATAGTTATATTATCTCATACCAAATTTGAGATAAATATAGTTGCCCAAATCTTGAGGTCATTATGGAGTCATGAGTCATGACTAAATAATGAGCTATTATGACCATTTCTATTTTAATAGTAATCCAATATTTGATGGGGTTGTTAAGCTAATCACTCATAATCTACCTTTATTTACTCGTAGGTTTTAGAAAGTAGTATAATATAATTTGATGTGATATTACTCAATATACTGTTTTAAATTATTCTCGTCATAAAACGGTCTCTTCAAAAGAAGTTAAATATGTGAAATTTTATTTTAGTTTTCACCTTGAAAAATATAATCAAATAAAATTTTAACTGACATACACAAACAATATAAGAACAGTAATGTTGTTGTTAGTAAGACTTAATCGTTAAAGGCAATTATTTCATATATAAGTGACAAACTTTTTTTTTTTTACAAAGAACGGAGGCTGAAGCCTAAATAAGTGACAAACTTTAAAAACACATAAAAGAGTATAACATTTTTTAATATATTTATGCATTTTTGTTAATAAAGTATGATGAATCAATTTATCAATTTTTTAAGCTGTCTCACTCAAAAATTTAGATGATACGTAATTAGACTTTGAGTAACCCAAATAAACAACATCGACCCCAATTTTTATTATTTGTTTATGACATAAGCTAGTAACATGTGTGACATATTGCTGACATTGGCATGATCAAACTCAATGTAATATATTGTTAGGCACGGTACTACCATTCATTTTGGATTGATTCAAATAAAATTAAATTTCATTCAAAAAGCAACCTTTTTAATTTCATGACTTTGTACTTTAAAATTAAATCCGCGTGAGAGTTAGGGTAATGATAAATACAACTCCACCTCACAATAAGTCTTTCTTTTCTTGATTATTTAGCTGAGAAATAATGTTGTTTCTTTTTGTCATACTTTTTTATGAAGCATTCTTCTTGACTGTAATACATCAAGGGCCACACGTTGTCTTCTATATATTCATAGATTTTATTTTCATTATTTTAAGAGGGATCTTGGCCATTAATGTCCATATATCAAGTACACGTTTACATATATTATTATGATATTAGTTTGGAACCAAAATTTCAAATTTATCAAACTTTCGAGTCAGAAATTGGGTCCAAGTGTATGTGTCACTCAATTGCATTGACTCCACATTTCCTCAAGAGAAATACTAATAGGAGGATTTACAATTTTTATGAAATAGATTGTCTAAAATATTGACAGGTAATAATTAATTGTTAAAAATATGCGAGTAAATGAGTAGTAATACTGATTATTTTTTTACTTTAAAGTTATGTTGGTGATTTAGAAGAAAAAATTAAGATTAATAAATAATGAATTTATTGAAATATTTTTCATATATTACACAACTTTTTCCTTGTGTAGTGCAATGTCCCCTCCAACTTATTATACATTTCATAACATTATCTTTTTGCTACCTACACTATGAGTTTCTACATTGTTCTATTCTTATTGCCAAGGTGTACCAAATTTGGTGGGGGGTGGGGTTTGGGGGGTGGTGGAGACATTTTGTTTTGGGGGCACTTTGAACATTGTGAGCTTTGCTTACATGTTTCAACCATTTTCTAACACATCACACTGCACTTTTGCCTTTGTTTGGGGTTTGGTTAGGATTGGGCACTTTTCTTTTAGCAAACTCTCCTTGGATTTGTTGGAGTTGGAAGAGATTTTGCATTTGTCATTACTCATTTTGAGATTAAAAACAAAAAAAAAAAAAAAAAAAAAAAGGATAAAGTTCTTTTAGGTATTAGGGTTCAAATCTGCAATTCCTATTGGTTTGAGAGTTGAAATTAGAATGATTCTAAAGTTGAATCTCAAGTTTTAATGTTAGGGGAATGAAAGCTACCTTTATTTGGTGTGATTGTCCATATAAAACAGAGTAAAGAAAATGCGAATGGATCATCATTATTTTCTAGAATAGTTATTTTTTCCCATCATTAAAATGTTATCTTAGTCGGCAGGTTTTTACTAATAACAATGGGCAAAGACTTGGAATATTAAGTTAAGGAATCTAATCAATCCATGCAGGATTAAGATACGTTTTCCAAAGGATAGAATAAAAATTATTTCTCATTGTTATGTATAAAAATTATTTCTCATTGTTATGTTTTCTCAACTTAACAAATTCTACGGGATCTTTTTTAAGGGTTAATTTATTACAAATAAAAAGGTACATGATTAAATATGTAAGATTTTAAAGTCATGTATTTTCTCGAGTTGCAAAATTTTGTACATAGGTTTATTTAGAAAGATATTAAAAATAATAATAATAATAATAATAACAACAACAGCACACAGACGACAACTACAATTTGCAACCAAACATCTTTCTATTTGCAAGATCGCCAAATCCACTAAATTAGCCAGCATCGATATGGGCCAGAACTAAGGCCCAGACCCAAAACCTTGAAAGGAAACATCCAGGATCAGAATCTCTAGGCCCAACCCATCAAAGAATTTATAGGCTTGCAAGCTAAAATAAGTACCATTTGATCGCTACCAAAATCTCATCTCCCATCATTTCCCAACCCAAAGCCCATTATTACATTTGGGCCTCCTTGCAACACAGCCTTCATTCTATACAGCCATCAAGTATACACATCATCAGTAGTAAAAAATAAAAATAAAACAAATCATCAACATCAACATAGTTGAGCTCCACCACCAGATGCACACACCACAAAATGCATCATTACTCCACCCTTCATTCCCTATTGCAGATAATTTATGCACAATCATGCCAAGAAACTTCACAACTTAAGCTCAATCCATCCCTAACATTTAACTGAGAAAAGGCAATTTCGATTTCGACAGAACCAAAAGAAATGTACAACTCCACAAACTAAAACCGAAAAACCTCAGTTAAGTTCAATCTTGATCTCCACCGGATGCGCCAAGTCAGATTCCGAAGCATTTCTTGAGATAGCAGCTGCTGAGGTTATAGTGCCCCCATTTAAGCCGTCCGCAAGCAGTTTACCAATCTTTGACCTCCACTCTGACCTGTCCCTTTCATTCCGCCTGTCGTGTACAACTCGGTCAAAGTAATTCAGCATTGTCCCGAGTCCCGTGTTTGGTATCCACCCGAATCCCATCAACACACGAGCTTCCCCTTCGCTTATGTCATCGCCCACCTGGATTATTTTTTTTTTCGCGTGGGAATAAAAAAATATTAATGGATTAAAAGGACAAGAAGAAGTGCATCCTCATTCATGCACATGCAAATTAATACAGCATTTTCGATTAATAAAATGGATTGTGTGTGAAGTAAATCACCGTTAATGCTTTGTTCTCGATTAGGCTGATCCTGCTGCAGCTGGTCAGCTTCATGGCGGTTACGAGTCGTCTGATCTGCCATTGTATAGGAAAAGATTCGACCAATTCAAAGAAGTAAGTCGCGTAACCGTATTCAGGACGTTCAAGCACCAATCTGCAGACAAAAATAATTTGACTTTTGACACTTGTTAGTATTTGATTGGTTTTGGACAGAACTAAAAGTTCACTGAATTATCAAGAGCAGGGGCCCACTAATTTTACCTGTTATGCCTTTCGAAGACAAAAATAAACGACTGGAGGTCCCGGCACCAACCCCATTCAACTGGCCAATTCCGAAACCGTAAATACCTTGCCTATCAACAACAAAAAAAAAAAGTACAAAATCAAGAAATTGTAAAAATAAAACAAAAATTGAAAATAAATTATTATTGAATTGCTCGTGGTCAGAAAAGGGTGGGCTGAAGTTGTTCTTTATACAGATTACAAAAAGGCCAAATTAGAGGGTTATAAGATACCTGCTCCACAAGTGACAACAGGCATTCAAGGCAGTAACTAACTCTATCCCCCTTAGTGCCTCGCGTGGGACCCAACTTCAGCAGTGATTCACGCTGAGACTGAGAGAAAAGCTGCCGACACACGAACAAGATCAGACTCTTGGAGAAAAATGTCCTTTTAGGTGATGCAACAGGCTAATTTGAAAAACATGTCGATAATAAGCTCTGATTTCAAACTATGAGCCACTAGAAACGTTTTATCCAGAGAATAATGGGCGAAAGTCATAAAGGATTAATAACATGCTAACAGAAAAACTAGAAGTGCACAAAACGTTATTATGGAATATGGACAAAAGTTGTATGCTTTTATGTTATGTCTTTTCTGTGAACTGATTTTTCATGTAGACCCCACAATCTAATCTGTATTGACAAAATATAATCGGGTAGAATAACAGCTAACACTACTTACGGCCCATGGTTTAGTTGATGTTTGGGCTTTGTGATAGCATGACAGCATTTATTGTAAATGCATATGATCATTTGGGAAAGAATATATAATGCAATGTCCATGATGCTCCCCAATAGCCTTTATCTCTCCATCCAATTGACATTTCCGTAAGTACATAACTTCGTTTCTCAAATTATATATATTTATCACATAGTCAGTTCCTAACAAATAAATCCGAGTCAACTCACAGAATAGATTGCTTCACAAGTACCATGCCCTAAATGAATGAGTGCATTCAAGTTAGAGATGCTTCAAAAGAATATTTGCTTCCTATATTGAAGATATACTATGTTTTTATCCACAACATATTGAAGATATACTATGTTTTTATCCACAATCAGAAAAACATAAGCCAAACTCTTCGAGCTTTACAGTCACATGTCAATATCCTTCAGCCGAACACTTACTTATTGGGACTTTTTTCCAGCCCTATCACGAATCTCAAAGACAGCATCGCTTTATTGTATGGTATTGATTTCCAGTGTTGAAATGGAAATCATAACTAATCACGCTCTCAATCCAACATGGCACTAATTTAATCAAGATCAATGGTAACATATGCTGATACTTGCCAACATTGTAGAAAAATGACTATTGTTTGGTTTCTCCTAGAAATGGTGGGCATTCAAATAAGTGAATAATTCCATAATATGGTACTTTGATAAACAAAAGCAATTATCTTCTGTAATAATATATCTCGGGCATATTTGTATACACGATATCTTGACTCGGCCAAAAAAAATTCTGCTACAGCTGTCAACCTCATCTACCCCCAGCCGTTCGGTCGGACATGACACAACAGAATCAATCCTGATATCAGTATCTTTAGTAAATCCTTTCTAAACAAGTACAATATATTTACCGTTTTTAGCCAATAACTGTTCCATGATCCTGAGTTTGATCTCATGTCCTTAATTTTCATCTTATTTATGGTGAAAGGCAACTATGCAGTGTATGACATCACTTATACAATATTCACGTCTAGCAAGATGCCAAGATCTAGCTACACCTATTTTTTCATGTGCCAACAGATTAGAAAATTAACTCAACGGGACACGAATCAATCAATGGGAGACTATTTTTATGCAGCTGATCACCCCAACTGGTATTTCATGCACAATAGAGTAGACTTATATACCATATACAGAACAGAAATAGAATTTTATAAATAACAGTTCTTTCACAACCTTGGATATAACTTCTTCGAGCTCTGAAAAATTTTCCTCAGTGGATGAATCCTCCAAAGCATCATCACTTTCTGGTTCGCCATAAAGTTTTATCTCATCAACTGTAACACCTTTACCAATCAACACCTGCCCATAATGAATATCAACATGTAAACTCTGATTTTCCGGATAAGAACATACAATTAGCAGCCTCCATTACCTTCAAAAGTCCAGGAGCATCTTCCTCCATTGCAGTTTCAAGTGAATCCCTGCAATGAGTATTAAAAAAAATGGAAACATATAGCATATTGAGAGCCAGGTTGAATTAGGATTTTCATATCCAACACGTAAAAAGAAAGACTTACGTAACAGTTTTTCGCCTTTTTCTTGGGCGGTTGACTTTAAATGACTGGGAAGGTGTAGGTGCAACTGGCCTACTAACAAAGGCAGGAAAACTAGTTTTGCTCATGCAATCCAGACCTTGGTGAACACCCAAACTAGAGCCATCTCTTGATAACAGTTTTATCCTATCACGCAGCAGCATATGATCCAATGCATCTTCGCAAGCATTATCTGTGATTTTAACTTCACTTTTCACAAGAAAGTCAACATATGACATTTGCTCCCTTCCATTTGCATTCATACTCAGGAAATCATCAGATAATGGTGGTTCAATTTTGATGTTTTTTAAGGTCGATACAGGTGAAACCTCCACAGTCTTAGCATTAGTAGACAAAAGAGTCTTCTTGCTGTCTGATTTGAAGATTCTCTTTTCCGAGTCATTTTGAAGCTCCAGAGATTCTGCATAAAGGGATCTCTTTCCTTGATGAGGTTTAGAAGATGAGTACACGGTAGCTTTTGATGCAACAGATGACAAAAGCCTATCAATGTCATGAACTTGATTCCCAGATAACACACGCCTTCGATTTCCAAATTGCTTTCCTTCCCTTACTGCTCCAGCACAAATCTCCTGTGGAACAGAAAGCACCGTTATCAGTCTATACATTGGAAACTAAAATATAATTATCGGACAATATAATACACACACACACACACACATACATATATAAGATTATATTCAGATCCTAAGAACCACCGCAAAAGTAGAAAGAGAAAGTCTAACTTCTTTTACTTGGGCAAAAAATAAAAAATGCTCCATTCACGAAAAGTCAGTAATACTCCATTAAGGATGTCATTTCTATAGATCTTGCAAAGTTCAAATCCCACCACACCCCACCTCACACCAGACACAAACATGTCTTGCGACATACTATGTATCATCATCGTGGAGAAGTTTTTGCAGAAAACCTAGAACATAAATCTATTTTGTTAGTAGTCTAGACTGAATTCATTTTACTTGCAAATAATACGGGTATTATAGGGGTTTTTTGTGTCACTACAGAAGCCAAAAAAAAAAAGTAAAAAAGTCAATAACACAAAAATAAAAAATTAGAGCATTAACAATTTTCTAAAGTAGAACAAAGCATAGTGCAAGACTTGTAAGAAAGGACAAATCTATGTCTATTTCAAAATTGAGGTTGAATCTACAATGGGATGCCTGTAGATAAATTAAACTTGACACAAACTGCTTAAAACCAAAATTTCAGATTAATTTACCACTAAATTGAACGATGAAGCTGATTCAAAGTAAATAATCTTAATTAAATACGTGTAAGAAGTCTACTGTGCAAGTGAAATGCTAAAACAGTAATATATATGAAAGAAAAGGAAGCTACCTCCAACGCTGTTGGTGTCAATCTCGAGCATCTACTGCAGAAAGGATGGAAGGGATGGAAGCACACAACATATTCAACAACAATATCAAACTTCACTAATGAAAAGTTGACAATCTGAGTTAGTAAAGAAAAAAGTACGAGACTTTTTTATCCATCATTTGCTCTCAAAGAAGAATATGAAAAAACAATAAAAAAAGAGCTTGCAGAAACACAAGTACCATACAATCACATCTTTAATATAACTAAATACGACAAAGAGTTTCTATTCACGTGAACATACATGATAACATTTAGATTTGATGACTTTCAGTATCATTGCAAATTGTGCATTAAATACCTAGACATAAAGATGCAAAGTCATCTCCTAGGACTCAAATAATTAAAATAAGCATTTGGCTGCACATGCAACAACAACAACAACAACAACAACAATAATAATAATAATAATAATAATAAAGGACCAGATAATTAGTGATCGAGCAGGAGACGATGAGACAAACCTCGCTAGCAGCCTCCTCAAACGTTCTTTTAATACCACATGATCGAGGTCATCTCGATACTCAACATTGTTATGAGGTTCAATATTAACAGCTGCTTGGGACCCCGCCTGCGAGAAACCACTCATACCACTAGCTGAAGAACTCTCAACATGATTGTCAGCAGGCTCAACCTTGACAGTGAATGGATCTTGGACACGCAAAGATTCTCTGAGTGAATCAGCTTGTTCAGATGTAGCAGTAAAAGCAGCAGTTGAAACAGTGAGATTTGAACTCATGCAATTGTTTGCTAAATTTTCTGGATTATCTGATTTCCCCAGCTCACCTGAATATCAAAAGTTGAATAATTTGTGAAAGAAAAAATATAAAAGCAAATTGTTTGAGAAGCAAAAACAACATAATAACCCCAGCTTTCAGGAACTGCACTAAAGGGGGCTCAGTCTCTCAAAATCTTTTTTTTTTTTTTTCATAGGTGATGAAGGTGGGATTCCGTTGTCAGTGAACTTTCAGAAGGTTGTGGAGTTTGAAACGCCTATGTCCAGATTCAATATATGAATTTCCAAAACCCAACACCACATATATTTTTCAAGATTTATTACCTGGATGTCTTTCATCCTTTCGTACTGTCCCAGACATCTGTTCCTCACCAGAGCAACCATTTTGTAAATGCTATAGAGTTAGAAAGAAAGACGAGGGATAAAAAGAAGAGGCGTGATTCATGTGCTTCTGACGGAAGAAAACAAGCCAAATGAATGTTCCCTTACGAAATATACTAGTGATGATCTCAGTTAAAAATATAGTCATTAATCACATGAACCAAACACGACTCCCATATAACACGGCCAACCATAGCTTCTCTATCATGCACTCATTTACACTGATAGAAAAAGGGTGCTCATAGGAAAATGTTATGTATGACAAATCCTCCCATTTGAAGAGAAACTTCAGACCCCATAAAGTAAAAGAACACACTGAACCAAATGCAAAAATGGCATCACCAAAAGTAAATAAATAAATTAATAATCTATACACACATACATATATTAAAAGAGAAGTACCTGTGAATCACACTGCCCATTTACCCATTTCCCTGCCACAGCAGTATCCGAAGTTCTGCACAAAATCAAACGAATCAGTATCCGAAGTTCTGCACAAAATCAAATAAAACTCTGGGATCATAACACTTAAGCGAGAAAATAAAAGGGAAACAAGAGAAGAATTGACAACGGAATTCTAGAAAACAACAAACACTAGAACAAAGATAAAGAAATAGCGAAGAAATCCAAAAATGTAACCCACGGTGGTTTAGACGAAAACCGATCCTCCCAAATCAAGTTAGGATCAGACATGCGATAGTTCGCCAAAAGCAATTTCAACCGCTGTTTCAGAGGCACGCTTTCGAACTCGTCCCCGAACCACGCCGTTGGGCGGGCGCCATTTGTAAATTTATTTACCGATTGAGACATCCTTCAAGCCAAACTGATGAAAGTTACGCCTGATACACCGTCCTCCGAAATGGTGCCATGTTTGCAGAAGAATTTCACAATAAAACAAGAATGCAAAACAAACTTAGGGTTTTCAGTACACTCACATAAAGAGAATGGGTTCGTATACAGAGGGGATTCTGTGTATTTGGGATGGGATGTACAATGATTTGGCGCGGAGTGCGCAGATTCCTTCAAAAGGGGGAAGAAGAAATATTTTGCATTCTATTTTCCTTTTTTATTCTTAAAACTACAAACACACAGTATGCCAAATTTATACATAAATTAAAAATTAAAAAATAATTTTAAATATTTTTAAAAAATTCATATTATTAATTATATTTAAAATGACACTCTTCAATTGTACATATTATAATATTTTTTTAACTCATAACATTATAGATAATTTTCTTCATTGATGTATAGTATTAATAGATAATTTTATTTTATTGTAAGGATAATTAAAATTATTTATTTATTTATATATGCGATATGAATAATAAATAAAAACTGAAATGATTAATTTGATATCATATCTAAAAAAGTAATAATACATACAAAAGTTATTAATTTATAAAATATATTTATAATTTAAACTAGTCAAATATATTATAATTTTAAAAATCATAATTTTAGATAGAAATTTAGATCTAACTACTCCGAATCACTACAAATTGNTTGTCGGAGTGGTAGATGATACTATAACCAAACCAAAAAATTAGAGTCCAAACCCGAAAACCACCTAAAACAATTGAGAAACACAACGAATAAGCACGTGCTTTTAACACTTAGCACCAATAACTTGGGCCTCATAGCCCATTTACTAATAATTGTATTAAATAGAGAAAATTACGTAGTCTACACAATTCCATCTTTATTGCACATTTACAATCCTTATATATTTATTAGCAAAGTAACTAAAATTATTACATTATTTACATATATATTAGAAGTCTATACTTATATTAAAAGGAATCCTATTTACCAAATTTAGTAGCTAGAAAAATCAACTGCATTTATTGTCATTACTATTTTCATACAGTTTTATTTAATATTTGTTTTTCTGTTACGATTTTTAAAAACAGATATGGTCAAATTCTCAATGTTATCAAAACCGGACCGGTCATTGAACTGGTGAAGCTACTGGTTCAATGGTTCACTGGTCGGATCAGCGGTCGAACCGGTTTAACTAATATACAATTTATTTATTTATTTTATATGTATAATATATAATTATATATATATATATATATCATTAATTTTATATTAATTTTATAGCATATAATAATATTTTTCTAAATAAGAGTTGATAAATCAATATTTTAAGTATAGTTTACCATAAGCAATACTAAATTAAGTTCACTAAAACAATAGATTAATAATTCAATATCTATTATCTAAAGCAAGACAATCCAAATTACAAATACAAACTACAAAGTCATCAAATCAAAATATATCCAATCCAACATTACAATTCATCAAATATCAAAATACTCTCTCACTCTTTTCCTTTTGTTTGATTTTTTTTTATTTCATTAAATTTATTTTTTTTTTCAAATTTCAGAACCGGTTCGACCAGTCGAACCGGTACCGGTTTTGAACCGGTTCGAAACCGGTTCTTGTTCCCAGCGGTTTAAACACTCAAACCGGACCGGTACTAGGTCTGGTTCCCGGTCCAACCGGTCGAACCGGCCGGTCCAGTCCGGTTTTGATAACATTGCAAATTCTCTCATCATTAGTTACTTTCCATTAATTACAGTTTATTTATTTATTATTTTCTTAGCAAAAACGGACCAACATTAATTGATTTCCTTAAAATGTGGAAGTTGTTGCTTTATTTTTGTACAGAAAATCGGGTTTCATTATAGAAATTTGTTCAATTACACAATGAATTTGCTATGATATAATTACTTTTTATGGGAATTTTTTTTTTTAACAGAAAAATATGGCATTTCAATAAGATTTTCGATTTTTTAAGACTGATTGTTATCATGCTATGAAATTAAACATTCCAATATACCTTAACAAAATATAGATGTAGTGTATACATCAGTTAATAGAAATATAGAATCTTCATATTTTTATATATATATATATGTAATTTTTCTATTACCAAATTTAATTGATAGTTGTTGTGTTATGGGTTTTTTCATAATTGTTACTTGGTTGTTGTGATATTTAGTTTGGTTGGTGTCGCAAAAATTCTAATCTATATATATAATAAGAATAATCATTACAATGCAAATTAGAAAAATATTGATATTAGAAGAGATTGAGTTCATGACTTTTCTTAAATCAAAGTTGTTTAATTAGTATACAAAATTAAATTTTAAAAAAATATATGTGTATATTTTGTACATTATTTATACACTATTTAATTTTAAATTTATTTACATATTTTAAATTGATTACTTATATAAATAATACCAACGTGCATTAAATATGTTTCATTACATAAAATAAAAAAAAAAACAAGAAGATGTGCAACTTGTGTAACTTTATAAATAATAATGACATTATAGGGCAACAGACTTTAATAATTAACTATTATATATTGAATAAGAATAAGTAAAATTGTTATTTTCTCTTATATCAAGGAATAAATATATATAATAGAATTAAATTTGTATTAGTATAAATGTGTTAGTGAGATAATATATTAATTATTTTACAAGTTAGCCCTAGCATGCTCACGTTTAATGTTCTGACTAATAAAACAACGGTGATTAAAAGATGTGAAAAATATATTACAACCTTATTTTTTTAGACTTAACGGTGATTAAAAGAGGTGGAAAATAGATGATAACTCTTTTCAGACTTAAACGAGACTTAACGGTGATTAAAATAGGTGGAAAATGGATAATGACCCCGTGCATCGCACGCGTACGTACTAGTTGGTTTGAATAGGTAACTCCCCTAATTATATGGTTTGTATTGATAACACTTCTTCTATCTCTCCCTCCCTATTTTTTTTCGTTATCTTTACCCCTCTCTCTCTCTCTCCTCTTCATCCCTCTCTCTCTCTCTCTTCACGCCATATCCATGGCGAAAACTCATTCTCGACGCAAAAAATTTCTTTGGCCTCATCTCTAACAGTGGCCCATCATGTGGAAGCCCAGTAAAGCCATGAGGAGAAATGTGACATGAAATTCAGACACACTTTATCTTGAAATTAACAGCTCGTAATAAGGATCTCTACTAGGCTAAAGATGTGATGAATATATAGAAATATATTCACCATCTTTTTTTTTTCTTTTTGTGAATTTTCTTCTAGATTTGTTGGGAGATCTTTTTTCTCTTCATCTATTTCTTGACAACAAGTTAAGAAGGATTATCTTATCTCCTTTTCGGCAACAGAGAGAGTCAACGATCAAAACAACACAACGAAAAAGAGAAGAAAAAACTGAAGAGAAAAGAACATGGTGGCCTGTTATGGTGGCCGGGTCATTGTGACTGACAGCCGGAGGCCGCGGGGGTCGTGTCGTGGTAGCTATGACGGTCGTTGGATTGGCCAGACGTTGGCTGAAAAACAGCTTATGACTGAAAAAAGGAATTGATTCGGAGGACAGCTCGTGATTGAAAAAAGGAATTGATTTCTGAAATTTGAATTTGTGGTCTAATGTCTTTTCTGTATATCTTCTGTATATATTCCGTACATAGTGACAAGATTGATTTATTTTCTGTATATCTGTTGTATATCTTAGTGTATTTTATTTAGGTCGTCGGTATATAATGAGTATATCTTCGGTATTTAAGTCTGATCGTGTATTTCGTATGTATTAAACCAAAAAATATACTATAAATATACAGAAAAAAAAACACAATATGTAAATAACAAAAAAAGGAAACAAAAGGATTTCGAAAAAAAAAATATTACCAGGTTTATTTCATATATTTTTTAGACTTATATGTTTTTTGTATATCTTCGTATATATTATATATAAACGTAATATATACCGAAAAAATAAATAACACATAAAAAAATAAATAAAGGTAAAATATTTTTATTGCGTCAAAAAATAAACAAGGGACGGTTAGTAAAGTATAACAACATCGTAATTAGTAGGGTATACAAAGTTACCATATTTTTTATATTTTTTTCTTAGTGCAAATCCTATACTCTTATACATGTACAAATTAAGAAACGGTAACCATCATTTATTTGCTAACTGATACTTTCCTCTTTCACAAATTCATTCAATAAGGATGCAAATAAAATCTCACTCTCGCACAAGTACAAATACTTTAAAATCAGTAACGTATAAGTGCAAATTACCCTTGTCTCCTTTGTTCGAAAAATCCCCAAATCGTGTCTCTTCCATTTGACGAGCTTCCCCTTCTTCAAAAAACCCTTTTCAATCCCTTCATCTCTCTCTTGCTGCCCTTAAATCCTTTGTTCATGACATAGATGAAAAAAGAAATTCACATTAAGAAATATATGGTATTCTCATAACTCCAAAATCTCATTAAATTGCACGTGTAATGTGCCCATTCTCCTAATTATAAACCCCAACTCAAGATTTATTTGCTTGAATATCCTGTGAAAAAAGGGGGAAAAAAAAACAGCAAAGAAAAAAAAAAAAAAAACCATAAAAGAATGGTCCAACTTATTTGACCGTTGAAACCAGCTGTATTCTGAGACAACCTCAGAGATCGTGTCATCATCGGGCACATTTTGGCTTTTGTCTTAAAAACCTTCAGAAATTAATCCAATTATCTCAACAAACAAACAGCAGACCCTAACGGCTACCAACAAAGTGGTTTTCTTTATTCGAGGCACAAATACTACGGGACTGTAAAAAAGTCACATCTAATAAAACCAATAACAAATAAATAAATAGATAAAAGCAATAATAATAATAATAATAATGATAAAAGAGGAACAGTAGATGACAGAATGAAAGATGATTTTGCAGCCGTAGGATTCATCTGACAATAACTTTTTTGTGATTGATGCCCCAACCATCTTTCCTCTCATAAATATTAAATATCATTCTTCATTCGCTAAAACCCTGCATTTGTCTCTGTAAATTCTTGGAAATAATTTCGGATTTCTCTCGAGCACCATTATTTTACTGTGTCTTTGTGGCATTCGTGTGGCATTCGTGTGTTAGAAAGGAGGACTGAGCTAATGACGCTATTGCTGCTCTTTATTGTGGCTTTAGTAGCTTCAGCTGTCTCTGCTGATGAAGGTGAGTTCAAAATATATTCTTGTTGTCTGTTTCCATGGCTATTGGATACTCGTTTTTTTCTTACAAGTTTGTGGCTGTTGTAATGATGGGCTCATTGTGTTTGTTTCATTTTGTTGTACCTTTCAAGATTTTTGTGAGTTTTTCAGTTGGGTATTTTCTGTTTTGCCTGATGAATTGAAATAAAAATACATTCTTGCTGCCTATTTTGCTTTCTGAAAAGTCCTTGTTTTTAATTTTTTTTGCTTATTTAATGTTGAGCTCTTTGTAGTTTTTTCATATCTGTTTCATTTTATTGTGCCCTTCAAGATTTTTGTAAGTTTCTCAGTTGAAAAGGTTTTATTTTCCTGATGAACCGAAATAAAAATACATTCTTGGTTGTCTATTTTGCTTCCTGAAAAGGCCTTGTTTATAAGTTTGTGCTTATTTAATGTTGGGTTCTTGTGTTTGTTTGCTTGATTTCTTTTTTAAATTGAGATTTTTGTAAGTTACATTGTGTGTTGGAGTTTATTTTAGCATTAATTAATATTTTGCCAAAAAAGCTGAGGTTATTTTTCATTTACCTCATCATGTTCATCATGAGATCTGCCTTTTAACTTCTTGATGAATGTTATAATTCCAGCAACCAACTTTTATTTCTGATACTTTACCTCTTCTTAGGATTACCTACTTTCAAAATTCTCAAAGGAAAATATAGGAATACAAATCGCCTTTATGTTGACAAGAAATACTTTCCTAGTCTTTTTCAATATGTGAAGATAGAAGCAAAAATGGTTCCCTACCTTTCCTTTCCCTATCTTTCACCTCTCAAGTGATGATTAACTAGTTTAGCTTCAATGAAACCAATTCCTTTTTTACCTGTTCTTGAGTTTCTATTCTTTTTCAATCTTACACACAATCTGCCTTACCTTCTCCCTAGAGCTAAATGCTTGTTAGAACAACTTCATATTTACTTAGACAATTCAAACTTCCTATTGTAAAGATCCAAAGAATTGTAGCAATATGACAATAACATCTTAAGCTTGTTCTTGCATCATGTGTTTTGTGTGTGTTTTTTTCCTCTAATCTCTCTCTCTCTCTCTCCACATAGACCCATTCATCGGCGTAAACATCGGTACCGACATGTCAGACGCCCCCCACCCGACCCAAGTCGCGGCCCTCCTCAAATCCCAAAACATCCGCCACGTCCGCCTCTACAACGCCGACCGCGCCATGCTCGCCGCCCTCGCCGGCACCGGCATCCGCGTCTCCGTCTCCGTCCCCAACGACGAGCTCCTCGCCATCGCCCAATCGAACTCCACCGCCGCCAACTGGGTCTCCCACAACGTCGCCTCCCACTTCCCCTCCACCAACATCACCTCCGTCTGCGTCGGCTCCGAGGTCCCCACCGCCCTCCCCAACCTCGCCCCCGTCCTCGTCACCGCCCTCACCCACATCCATTCCGCCCTCGTCGCCTTGAATATCGACCGCTACGTAAAAGTCTCGACTCCCCTCCCTTCCTCCCTCATCCTCGACTCCTTCCCCCCTTCCCAAGCCTTCTTCAACCGCACGTGGGCCCCGGGCCTAATAATCCCCCTCTTGAAATTCCTCCAAATGACCGATTCGCCCTTGATGCTCAACGTCTACCCGTACTTCGACTACATATCCTCCAACGGGGTCATCCCGCTCGACTACGCCCTCTTCCGACCGCTCTCCCCGAATAAAGAAGCCGTCGACGCGAACACGTTGCTCCACTACACGAACGTTTTCGACGCGATAATCGACGCCGCCTACTTCGCGATGGCCGACCTAAACTTTACGAGCGTGCCGGTTTTGGTGACGGAGACGGGATGGCCGTCGCGAGGAGGGACGGACGAGAACGACGCGAATTTGGAAAACGCCAACACGTACAACAGTAATTTGATACGACACGTGATTAATAAAACTGGGACGCCCAAGCGGCCGGGGATGGCGGTTAGTACTTACATTTACGAGCTTTATAACGAGGATTTGAAGCCGGGCCCGGAGTCGGAGAAGAATTGGGGGCTCTTCGAGGCGGACGGGAGGCCCGTTTACGTGCTGCACGTGACGGGGACGGGGTTGGTCCTGGCGAACGACACGACGAACCAGACGTACTGCGCGGCGAAGTCGGGGGCGGACGAGAAGATGCTGCAGGCGGCGCTCGACTGGGCTTGTGGGCCCGGGAAGGTGGACTGCTCGGAGCTGATGCAGGGGCAAGCGTGTTACGAGCCTGATACGGTGGAGGCGCACGCGAATTATGCGTTCGATGCGTATTATCACCAGATGGGGAAGGCGCCCGGGAGTTGTGATTTTAATGGGGTGGCTACTGTAACGACGACTAATCCAAGTAAGCGAATCGTATTTTTTTTTTGGTATGTATATACAAATCAAAGTTTTTATAGCTAACTAATGTGATTTGTTTGTTTTGATTGGCATTCTTGAAGGTCATGGTAGATGCGTATACCCTGGAAGGTACGTCTATATACATTTTTATATGATGTCATCAGTTTCTGTTTTACAGAGTGTAAATACAAACCTCTGTTTTTAGTGAGTAGATTGAATCTGAAAAACTTGGATATTTTGGTATGTGTTTTATTATGCAGTGAACGAAATGGATCAGTTCTGAACAGCACAATTCCAGCTATGGATTCAAGAAGCTCAGCGCATCGTGCGGAGTTCTTCCTCAGTAGCAATGTGTTTTTGGCAGCAAGCACTTTCATCAGTTCACTGTGGATCCTGATTTTCTTGTAGCTCGATGGAGAATTAGACGAGCTTAGGAAGTTCCCGACCAAGATATCTGTTCCGGCACCAAATTTTTCTCTCGCGCAAAATGCCAAAAAAAAAATATTAAGGAAAGAAGTTCTCTGCGTGTGATTGTTTTGTAGTAGTAGCATTGTACAAAGCGTACTGTTATTTGCAGGTGGACATGGAATTAGGAGTTGGATGAATTTGAGCCATTTTGGGGACCATTGTGGGATTCTTTTTTAGTATCTGTTAAGTATTATCCAATTGGCAACAAAACCTCATTTTAGTGACTTCATTGTGTGGAACTTAGCATGCAGTATCGACACAATTAGGCAAATTGATATTGTCATTTGTTTGCGCCAAGTTCCAAGTGTTTGTGTTTCTTATCATGCACGTTAAAAATGAATGCAAATGATAAAGTAGAAAAAAATGTGCGTATTTTATACAGTATTTTTATATGTCTAGTTTAGCGGCATGTCTATTTTTCTATATATTCATTATTTTTTGAATGAATTTTTTTACTTTGATGTTATGCTTGACGGTTTAGCAAGTTGAAGTATTTTCTTAAAGGAAACTTTGGAGCAAACCATTATTGATTTGAGTTTCTTAATGCGAAAGGACTTGTGGCGTGGAAACAAGAGAAAAAGGGCAAAGTGCAACACAAGTATCACTCGAAGAAAGGAGATTGGAGAGGTAAAGGTAGGACTGTAAACGAGTCGAGCGGCTCACGAGCTGCTCGCGAGCGCTTGAGTCAAAGCTCGAGTCGAGGTCGAGAGCAGCTCGTCGAGCGGTTCGATATATATATTAAATTATTAAAATATCCCTTATATGTATATTTAAATAGTATAACACAAATATTTAATAGTAATTTCACTTAAAAATTTTAGAGCCGAGCCTGAGCCGAGCTCGAGCTATTGTCTTTTCTTATCGAGTCGAGCTCGTGCAGCTGAAAAAAAAAAATTCAATCCTGCTCGATAAGGCCAATGCTTGACTTGACTCAGCTCATTTGCAGCCATGAGCAAAGGAAGCGACATGATTTAATATTGTTTATTTTTCTCAAATTTATATTTTGGACCCTAAAACTCAGTCCAACGTTAATGGGCTCTAGGCCCAAACGATAAATTATGTGTTGATCCATTAATAGTTTTCCAATTCAATGTCGATCTATAAATGGACCGCTAAGGCCAATTGACCAATCTAATGTGAAAAGGAACTACAAAAGAGAGTCCCCTCATCCTTAAAAACATCACTGCCACATGTCCTCTTATTTGCAACCCTTCGAGACACGTGTCTGTTAAATATTCATAGTTGGCATGTTGTAATCATTGCATTTATTTATAGTTTGTATAAATATATTGAATTATATTATACCAGGGACCACATTCAACTCATTACTCACAAAAACACACTAAAAGAATAATAAATACTATATTGTGGATCCATATTTTCTTGAGGATCCCAATTATAGTGCATTTTTACGTTCATAAATGCGTAATTCATACGAATTTACGTTTGGTAACTCTTTGTTATCAACCAATTGATGTTACAAGGAGAGCCCATAAGGGTTTTGCTGAATTTTCAACGTACAATCTGCGAAACACAATTTCCACAATCAATTTCATGCCATAATGTCTTCTTCGAACAATCTCAACAACAATCAAAATAACCAAGAGGATAACTCTCCTCCCCTCACTGGCATTAGCTGAGTTTTCAACAATCCTGCCTTCATCAAAGGTATAATCGACCTTTTCACTCAAATGCTCCATAAAATCCCCCATAACACTTCTCCTCAAAAGCATACTCTCAAAGATCCACATCCTCAATTGTCGGTGTCCTAAGAAGGCAATTCTCACGGCCTTCACGGGGCTAATAAGAAGGATAAACACAAAGTTGACTGCCCAACCAAGCTTCAAGGGGAGTGGGCGAAAAGGTTCATTCTGGCGCTGAGCTAAGTTTGAACGTCCCTTATTAGTTTGAAAGATTTGGCAATAACCCCCAGCGTGGCGATCTCTGCCATGAAATCACAAAGAAAACCCTCCACAATGAAGCCGAGAAGATCTCCATGCTTAAACAACGGGCCGAGAAGATCTCTAAGCTTAAACAACATATCGCTGAACTCGAGGCCCAACAAACCCCAAAACCTTCACATCTAGGACTGCTCATTCAGTCGAAACCGAACCACACCGACTGAATTTTCCTTCACATTAGCCTATCCCCGATCCTCCTTCCAATTTTCCTTCCTCCTCTCTCGATTTTTGTATGGATCTTAATTCCCCACTCCTTACTCACATCATAGGTGAGGTACTGCACACAAAAATAAAAGTCCTCCAGACCGGCCTCTACAATGGTGTAATAGCAAAATGATTTATAATATATTGACTGATATGGATGCTTGAGTCAAGAGTCGGATATAATGTCAAGCGGAAGCCAGCAACATGTTGAAGACCTGGGCTGAACAATGAGACAAAGTCTGAAGTGCTAAATGATTTAATTTTGAGCCGAACGACGAAGGTAATGACGAACAAGGTGAGATGGAGCAAATTTTGCACTGTTATTAGCCCCCAATAAAAGCTTGCACAGGTGAAAACTACGCAAAAGCTCTAAGAAGCGAAGAACAACTGGTCGACATTCTGAGGAAGCCGCTTAGGAAGACCAAGTTCCGTGAACTGCGATCTATGATCGGCCAGATCAATGTCAGCAACATGCACAAATGCTTATGAGGAGATTGTAGGAAATCTTTTATTATCAAATATAATCCTTATACACCTAAATTAGTTTATTTGCTTTCCTTATAAGTTACTTCCCTATATTAGTTGTGAATATTTGTTTGATTATAGTTTGATTTGTAGGTCTTATTTAACTCATTCTATTCCTCTATATAAGCAATAGAATATCAAGAAAAAATGTCAATGCAACAACACCAAGAAAGAGCGTGTCCTTTTGTAATTACTTGAGTTTGTGATTGCTTGAGTTTGCGGTTTGGCCGTGATCTCGTGGACAACCCGGTGTTGTCTGTCCGGCGAGTTTCTAACACGCACCACACACGCACTTAG